ACTTTGGTGGATAGTTGCCTCATTGACAATCATACCACACCTCCTTATTTTTATATTATTCGCATAAAAGACATGTGAAAAAATCTTTGTCATCAAATTAATAAATTGCGTGTGATTTTAGTGTTGTAAATGTTTCGTTACATTATACAAAAAACCTCTCTTGTGTAATGTATGAGCGAAGGAAAGACACACGCTGATAATGCGTATTAAGCATACTCATATATTATAGACAATAAAAGTAAATAGTCACATTAATGAATACTATAAAGAACACGTATTCCTCATAAGTCTTATATTTGCACTCGTAATATTACCTTAATTAAGAACATGAAGACATAAAAACCAAGCATGAGGCTATATCAACGGACTAAGAAAAATATATTATTAGCGTCAACTTATTTGATATTTTAGGGCAAACTGTTGTATAGTGCATTTTCCTTCTAAAATAATAAATCAGCATCACGTTTTTAATCTACATCTTTGCACTGTTTTTTGTAGGGTTTTATTTTGTCTTGTTTTATTTTACTTCTGGTAAGGATGTTGTATGTTATTCGTCTGTCTGATTACCCACTCCATCCCGGTATCGTTTCGCACTTTTTTAAGTCACATTAAAAAAGTTAGGTGCTTTCATGAACATATTTTATTGAACATAACTAAAAAAAACATTTTAGCTCCGACATAATCTTCAATTTGTTGAAGGCGGTCACTTTATGGTAGAAGTATGTTCATGTGTCTTTCGTTTAACAGTGACAGCGTCAGCGGTGGTTTTAAATAACACTTTTAGTAACACTTTGCAAATTAGTCACGTCTAAAACGTTTTCTGGATTTATCATCATCAAGAACGCACAGCCAAACAATTGAAAACCAAGGATGTAAAGGTATTTGAAAACGTAAGGGACTATATGACCAAACAAGACCTTAAAAATTAGACAAATCCTTCGAAGGTCAACTTTGCCTGGAGGAGTTTGAACCTTAGTTTCATACTATTTTCGAAATGTATGAAACATAATTTTAAAAAAGGTATGCTTCAAATCATGTTAGTACCGAAACACTGATTATTGAGCTGGTGATACCCTCGATGGATTAAATTCTACCAGCAAAGGAATCGACCCAGTACATGAAAATAACACTTTATAAATTAGTTGCGCCTGAATCGCTTTCTGTATTTACCCTTATCAGGAACGCCCGAAGCCAAAATATTGAAAGTCCTTGCATGTACAAGTATCATAAAACGTGATGAGCTATATGACTAAAAAAGGACCCCAATAGCCAAAATTATATCCTAATGGATTTATTTACCCAGATAGGGAATTCGACTTTCATAGCAGATCATTCTGTGGTCTCTGTGGTCTCTATTCTCAGGTTTTCTCGGACCATTTTAAAGGTTGAAAATGACCACAGAAAACCATTATTTTATTATTAAAGACCGTATGTTTACCTCTCTAGGCGTGTGTTTGTTTTAATATACCCAACATTTGAAATTAAATTCAATGAATTTTTTGCTCCTACTTGAAGCTGGTAATGAAAAAACATTAAGCATTAAATTTAACCTTATTATCTTGTGACGCTGAACCATACAAAACTATGCAACAATACAAACATGAATGGAACACAATTATAAAATGCTTTAAACCCGCCACATATTATGTCATGTCTAAATGATTATTTGGAGAATTAAGTGTTGCATAGTTTCTCATTAGTTTGTTCACATGCTTAGACTCGTGATTATTTTGATAGAGCTCGACGTCACTGAATGTCTTTTGATTATTATTCAGTAGTCGTTGGGTTGCCGTCTCATTGACGTATGTCCCCAGTATAAATAAAGGCAACCGTAGTATACCGCTGTTCAAAAGTCATAAATCGATTGAGAGAAAACAAATCCGGGTTACAAATTAAAACCGAGGGAAACACATCAACTATAAGAGGAAAACAACGGAACAACAGAAACACTGAAGTGCAACAAAAACAAACGCCAATGCAACATACATAGAAACGAACTATTTGATAACAACTGCCATATTCCTGACTTGGTACAGGAACACAATTATAAAATGATATTTATAATTGTGTTCCATGCTTTTAATAATTTAGAATAAAAGATTGTTCATAGAAATTTCATGTCAATAAAAATACTCTCAATATACTAGCGACTCATTCGATTAATGGACTTCTATCGAATGTTACTTCTGCAAACGTAGATAAACGGATTTATCCTACAATCACCCAACAATTATACAAATATGAGGTGCACATATAAATTTTGATTTATCTGAATTTGTAAAATGTTAACCCTTGATTTTCATTTTTTGATTATTACATATATATATATAGTATCGTGAAAAATGCCACAATTGCAATCAGTAATGTTATTCATTATTGATGTAGAAATGTATCTGTAGAATCCAAAATGTATATTCTATTGTATTTTTGGTTATTGTCTCATTGGCGTATATCCGAAGTTATATTCATACAAAAGTTTCTCATTTGACAAATTATACTCATATAATCGTCAATTTCCAGAAAGGATATTAATAGCTACAATTCACATATTGCAATTGCAAATTTGATTATAGATGTGAGGCTGTTGCAAAAATTGAATTATTATAGATTGTTGTTATCACGGAATTTAATAATTTAGAATGTAAAATATATAATACAATAATCTTACAGGTAATCAAATAGATAAACAATCGTGCCTTTTTTTCAAAAACTGATAAGAATATGTAACATTGTTGATTAAATTTTTATTCCAAATCTTCCAACAATCTTTCGCATATATCTAATCTGTGATATTATGTTGCTCTTTTGTTCTGAATGTAGAATTGATAAATATCAAATCAGTTTATTCTTAGTTCCACAAACCTTAGAACTGGTATTTTGATGGTTTTAAAATTCAAAATAAAGTCTTACATGAAGTATTTTAGGCATTATGATGTTCCATTTCATATTTAAATTCGATACTTCCTACACTTAAACATAGCTGCTAATAAATCTTAATGCATATCATATCACAAAGATATCATAAATTTTTAGTGTGGATAAGTTCGATTCATCATAAATGTTTTTAGTAATTTGAAAAAAAAATTAAACTGTGGAATTAGATTACCGTTCATCATTAGAATTTTTCTTTTTTGTTTTGAATATACATAACAGAATCGGATATTCTGTCCTCTCTGTTAAAAACAATTTATTCCAAGGCAAAAGTTCCTGAACTCTCCCGAGATTAAATCTTATAAAAATGGAATATTTAATTGTTCACTGAAAACCAAGTTAATGTGACAGATGCCTTTAAATCCATTCCAATACTTCTATTGAGCTTTAGTATCAAGGGAAATGAGGATTTCCTGGTACGATCATTTCCGTTTTGTTTCACCGTCATCAGAAAAGGCTTAGTCAAACGGTTACCTGACTTCGATACAAAATGTGAATATTGGTCTAATTTATCAGTAATGTATGCTACACAGAAAGAACGTGAAATGAAGGATAAAACATTTCGTATTTCTTTATTGTGTTTTGTTGTGAGACGAAGTCATGACATCAAATATAAATTTAACATTTCCCCCTTAATATAGAAAGAATTGGCAATTAACTAGAAAATATAAAAACGGTAAAGCATTTATCAATCAGTTACATGTTTTTCAGATCAATTACTAGAGAAGAAGTGGAAGAAAAAAACCTAGATAATTATCTTCCATTTGTTATACATAATATATCTCATGCCTTGATTGATGACATAAGAGACATCATATGAGTTATATTGCCTTTTTCGTCCTGAGGAAATCTTATTCATTTCCAGTTTTTCATCTGCATTTTATCAACGAATATATCTCAAATTGCATTTCTATGAAGTTGAAGTTACATGTTTAGCTGGGATTCGATATACGAGTAGAATTCAAAACTTGACCTTAAACGATTTTGACTGTCTGTTAAATTGACCATAGACGATTTTGACTGTCTGTTATGTTGACCATAGACAATTTTTGATTCTGTTAATTTGAATATAGACAATTTTTGATTCTGTCAAGTTGACCATAGACAATTTTTAACTCTGTTAAGTTGACCATAGACGATTTTGACTGTCTGTTAAGTTGACCATAGACGATTTTGACTGTCTGTTAAGTTGACCATAGTCAATTTTTGACTGTCTGTTAAGTTGACCATAGACGATTTTGACTGTCTGTTAAGTTGACCACAGACGATTTTGACTGTCTGTTAAGTTGACCATAGACGATTTTGACTGTCTGTTAAGTTGACTATAGTCAATTTTTGTCTCTGTCATGTTGACCATAGACGATTTTGACTGTCTGTTAAGTTGACCACAGACGATTTTGACTGTCTGTTAAGTTGATCGTAGACGATTTAGTGTTTTATGGACTTTTTTGTCTTTTCGTCGTCTTTCGTTTTTTGCCATGGTGTTGTCAGAATATCTCGACTAATGAGTTTTGAATGTCCCCCTGTATCTTTTGCCCAGGCCACACAAGAACCCCTCATAGAGTTGTTGCAAGGGTTCTCAACGTGAAAGAGAGAGACACTCTCTCTGCACGATGCATCGGATTTAATGTCCCCATTCTGACCGAACGTAGTTGCGAATTTATAGTTCCCGCACAGCCAAACGGACTCCCCTCATTTGCAAGGGATTTACTTCCGATCGGCGGAAGACGATGGGATTAACATATTTCTAAACCCCAGTCAACCATTGGGGTAGTTGACGTTAGATTTTTGTCTGTTTAGTGGAACTAAGACGGTTTTAACTGTCTGTTAAGTTGACCGTAGACAATTTTTGAAGGTCTGTTAAGACCCTTTCAATATTTTGATTATCTTAAATGTTTTATGTATATGGCTCCGAAACTGTTTGTTAACCTGAGCGTACCTGATGAAAGATAAAAAACAAAAAACGTGTTATGACCACTGAAATATGTAAAATAATACTTTTTATATTAGTGTCGTCTGCGAAAATCACAAAGTAGTTTTAATTATATAATTTCTTTTCTGTCTTTCAGACTGTTTCGATTTCGGTGTCAGTATTGACTCTAGCAGCCATTGCTGTGGAACGATGGTATGCGATTTGCCGACCACTAGCTTTCAAAAGTACACGCAGGAGAGCAAGAATTATAATATTTGTAATATGGATGGTCTCCGCATCTGTTGCTCTTCCCGATATAATTTTCCTACGATTGAAGAGATTTGAACGAGTACCAGAAAATGTTTCTGACTTGCTTATGTCGTGTCAGCCAGGTTTAGACCAGGAGCAGCAGACAGTTTATCAGATAGCGTTAATTGTACTACTGTATCTATTGCCGATGATTTGCATTTGCGTCGCGTATATACAAATTTCGCATGTTCTGTGGAAAGGAGACATTCCTGGAGATGGTGACTCAAGATCAGGTGTGTACGCTAAATATGTTATTTAATCTTTATATGCTGGTAGAAAGGGTTATGGTCACATGCTTTGATAATTATATATATTATATTTTCTTTTCTTGCAAGTCGAAAGGCTTGCACATGTTGATCCAGCCAGGCAAATATACTATTTCTGAAACGTTCTGCGTCGTTTGTAATCATGAAACTATTTTAAAAAATAAGAAGACTATTTAATGAAATTTATATATATGTATATATATAACGCGTCTAAATATGAGTCAACGATCTTTCTTTCGAGGGCGCTGATCGTTACGAGTAATGATACCTGTACACAATAAATAAATTATATAAACGCCTAAAAAGTGCACAAAACAACACTAAAATTAAAAAAAGGAAACATTAAATGTAGGTATTTATAGATATTTCGGATAACAGATATCCTTCATCAGTATGATTATGATGTAAAATGAATCATATCAATCTATTCTGATTTAACTATAAGAATCTTTAAATTTATACAATTATAACCGAACAACGCTTGTACAATTCTAAAATTTAAAAAATGACGTAGGTTAGGTATTTACAACAGAGACTGCATAGATATGCTTCAAACAAAAATAGTAGTGTGCGATATGAACTGGTACATTTCTAAAATTTCAGAGATGACGAAAGTTGACAAAGACTACGTAGAAATACATTCCTAATAAATAGAACTGACCGATTTGAGCTGGTATAATACTCAAATTTTAAATTTGACGAAGATAAAGTAATTACAACAGAGGCTCTGTTGTGGTCGAGTGTTCTAGGGCGCTGGATACGGTGCAGGCGGTGTTGCCACGATGTCACAGAAGCAAGAGTTTGATTCCCACTGAGGGAAGAACAAAAATTTGCTAACGCAAATTTGAAGATCTAACATTGTTGGGCTAAATTTGAGACGAGTTATACATATATTATGGTGTAAGCCCTGTATAACCACGTGTTATCCGATGTAGAATGTCTGTCATAAAGCTATCACATGTTTAGACGTGTATAATAGAATTAAAATTTGATGTGGCGGAATGGTAATTAACATTATCATCCTTTACGACAGACAAAATAACTGATCTGAAAGGTAAACCATCTATATCTAGTACTCTCAGATCTGTACTTAGTGCTGTTTTGTTATGGGGATGTATAAGTACCCTGCCACGTCCACTCTGTGTTTTTGTTACTTGTTTTTGCTGTGTATCTATCTGATGAGTTAAGCCCTTTTCAACTGATTTTTATAGTTTGTTCATATGTTGTACTGTTACAACACTGTCATAGGTAAGGGGAGGGTTTGGGCGCCCGCTAACATGTTTAACCCTACCACATTCTGTATGTGCCTGTCCCAAGTCAGGAGCCTATAATTCAGTGGTTGTCGTTTGTTGCTGCATATCATATTTGTTTTTCGTTCATTAATTTGTACATAGATCAGGCCGTTAGTTTTCTCGTTTGAATAGTTTTACATTTGTCATTTCGGTGCCTTTTATAGCTGACTATGCGGTATGGGCTTTGCTCATTGTTGAAGGCCGTATGGTGACCCATTGTTGTTAATTTCTGTGTCATTTGGTCTCTTGTGGAGAGTTGTCTAATTGGCAATCATACAACATCTTCTTATTTTTTTTATATTGTAAGCAATTTAGTGTACCAACTTCGTTAATGAAAGGGGGATGCTATGTTGTATTTTTTTTCGTGACATTTTTATCGAGGAAAATCAGAATAATTTTTTCAACAATTTTTAATGAATTGAACTATTCAGAATTATTTCCTTTTTTGAATGGCAATTCAGTTTTTCTTAATCTGAGAATTAGGATTACATTTTATACTCCTCCCACCCCATTATAAAGTAGATTACTGTTATTCTATATAAAATAAGAATATTTGGTCATTTGATAGAGTAAAAGGTATATACAGACGTAAAAAGTTAAGAAATGGCACGAAATCGTGATACATGTACATGTAACCCGAAAAACGAATATCCATACATGTAGGTCAAAGTATGATTTCCAATACAGTGTGAATCAACAAGATTTTCAAAATCCTACACACGAATGTGTTGAATCTGGTTGTTTTTAAAAGTGTTATGTAAGTTTGCATTATTAAATTCATCTCACATAATGTCCCTTTATTTTATATACCTATATGGAGTTATTTTCTTTCAGAACGATAGGTTATTCTTTCTTAGAATATAGCAAAGTGCTCTCGACCAATGAAATTGTAGAATTTGATGTCTCTTAATTGTGAAGAATGAATGTAAACCATGTTCTTAGTAAGGGGTTATCCTATTATTTGGGTATTTACAGTTCAAAACAAAGAGTTTCTATAAATGAGTTACAACTGCCCCCGAAGCACATTTATCAGATTGAAAGGATTTATCACGCAGTGATTGAAAATGACTAAAAGTTGAATTGTGAAACAAAAAAATCAAAATAAGTTGAAGTCTACTGGTGCAGTAAAACTGGTACCTTTAATGTTATTATGAAAATATTAATAACTTTAAATTACTAAAAAATTAAACAATATCAAAGCAATGCAAAAAAAGAAAAAAAAAGTTTTAAAATCAAAAACAACCTAAATCTTTCCAAAACTCTGATAACTGGACTAGCGGTTGGGAAGAATAGTTATTTCCGATATTCCGTTAAAATAAAAATAAAAAGGAATTTAATTTAAGTTTTGAATATATTTAAAACTTTTATAGGCATTTTATTTGAACATTCCCCTGCTATAATGAAATAGTATTTGATTTAAGAAGCCGGACCAAAATATTGGCTGTGAAAATAAAATTAGTTGTAACTCAAATATAGTTATTTATTTAAACTGTAAATAAAAAAAGGATAATTCCTCACTAAAATATTACATGATATACATTCATACTCACAATCAGGAAACATATACAATTCCTACCTTTTCTTTGGACTGTTGTCACCTAATGTCTATTACGCATTTTTTTTTTTAATATTTCCCAAATTATAAGAATGTCCTTACATCACTAAAACTAATCCATAATGAAATGCCGAAAAAGGAAGTCATGCATCAATTATAAACATTGCAATGACAAAGACACTAATTCCTTGAATACAACCAATCAAGAGATCATTTGAGCCTTGCGCACTTTACAATATTCTAAGTTTGTAAGAGAATGATAATCCCTTACTTCATGATAAGTACTCGCTAACGCTCGTACTTAATCATGAAGAAAGGGATTATCATTCTCTTACATATACGAAGAATCTACCCGGACGATACCATGTTTCAATGAAATATGCTCTAAGGCATAAAATAATGACCTGTGTGAGGTCATTATTTTCCTTGATAAAAATGCAAACTTTAATTTACTTCAAATTATATTCGTCTGATAGTTTCTGTTGCCGATTTGGGAATTTATTTTTTAAAGTTCAATCTATGATAGGTGTAAAAAAATCGTCATTGCCCGAATTCTAATTTTAGAAACAAATAATGTGAAGTTTTGTTAATTTATCGCTACAATACAGTGACATTATTATATATGCGAGATGAATTTTAATGTAAAACTTTCATAACACTTTAAAATAAAGCCAGATTTAACATATTCGTGTGCAAGATTTTGAAAATCTTATTGATCCACACTGAATAGGTTGATTGATTGATGGTTACTTAACGTCCAGTGGCAAATATTTCATGCATGTTTAGGACGATACACACAGAATAGGAAATCATAGTGTGACCTACATGTATTGATATTCGTTTTCGTGTAACATGTACATATATCACGATTTCGTGCCCCTTCTTGTCAGTTCTTAACTTTTTTACATTTATGTATACCTTTTACTCTATTAAATGATTAACTAATAAAATATTCTTATATTCTATTGAATAACATTCAAGTATCTCACAATGAGGTCGGGTGGGGGGAGGGTATATAATTATATCCTGATTATCTGTTAAAAAAATGTATTGCTATTCAAAAGAAAATCATTCTGAATATTTCATTCGATTCAATTAAAATTGTTGAAAAAATAATTACTTTTCCGCGATAAAATGTCATGACAAATTTTTATAGCACCTCCCCCTTTCCATAAACTAAGTTGGTACAAAAAATTACTTACAAAGTGTCTTGTATTTTTCATACACCGTTATCAGATGGTAACAATTCATTTGTGTCTTACTTCATCCAGTTACAGTAATATTTTTATTGTGTATGGATAATAATTTCTAAGGTTTATATCTAGATTAATTGGTGAGTTTTATTTCACATTCTAAATGACCCGTAGGGCGTATTAAAACCTGAACGCATTAGAAAGGAATATCCCACTTTAGTGTGGTTGGTAAAATAGGATGCTAAATTTTGCAAATCTTTATAAAAAACAATATTATTTTGACGGTATATAAGTCAGATAATGCATATTTTAAGGTTTTTCTTGTCGTAGAACACACATCGAGGTGTCAGGATTGCCCAAAGAAAGACCTCCCTACGGTCGGTCTTTCATTTAATCAATCCTGACACCCCTCGGTGTGTTCTACGACAAGAAAAACCTTAGTATATGTAAGAGAATGATAATCCCTTTCTTCATGATTAAGTACTCGCTAACGCTCGTACTTATCATGAAGTAAGGGATTATCATTCTCTTACAAACTTAGAATATTGTAAAGTGCTCAAGGCTCAAATGATCTCTTGATTGGTTGTATTCAAGAATTAGTTTCATTGTCAGTGCAATGTTTATAATTGATGCATGACTTCCTTTTTCGGCATTTCATTTATGGATTAGTTTTAGTGATGTAAGGACTTTCTTGTCATTTGGAAAATATTAAAAAAAAAGGCGTTATAGATATAAGGTGACACAACAGTACACGGAAAAGGTAGGATTTGTATATGTTTTCTGATTGTGAGTATGAATGTAAATCATGTTATATTTTAGTGAGGAACTATCCTTTTTTTATTCACAGTTTAAATCAAATAACACATTTGAGTTACAACTAAATTTTATTTCACAGCCAATATTTTGTTCCGGCTTTTTACATCAAAT